CCCCAAAACCCCAAAACCCCAAAACCCCAGGGCGAGCTAGAAGTTTTGAAACATTTGAATCTTTTTATAATAAATAGAAATATGGATCCCTTAAAGAAAGTTGAATATTTGGTAGGAGCCACTGTTATAGAAGGTAGAGGGCTTACAGGGAAGGATCGAGGTGGTACATCTGATCCTTTCGTCAAGGTCAGCTGTGCTAATTCTGATACACAGATCTCACAGAGGCTTTATTCTACTAATAATGCGGTTTGGAACCAAAGTTTCACATTTGAAAAAGTTCTTTTGAATAAGCTTGAACTTGAGTCTATGGAGCTGGTGTACGAGGTTTATGATTATAATGCTGTTCTTGCTAATGAACTTATCGGATATCACTCAGTGGGGCTTTCAACGATGTATAGACATCTCAACCATGAGTTTTACAGAAAATGGGTTCCTCTTTTTAATTCAGAGATCGGACCTGAACCTCAAGGTCAGCTTTTAATCTCCTGTTTTATTATTGGGCCAGGTGAAAAACCTCCGGCTCATAGAAAGGATGAAATTATTGACGATGATGAGGAAGATCTCGATGAAATTCTTGGCCCTGATGTAAGTGAAGCTAAGAAAAGAGAGTTGCAAGAGAAAAAGAAGGGAATATTTCTCCTTACAAATCCAAAGAATCAGTATAAAACATATCAGCTAAACATTAACATTTTAAAGGTTGAAGGCCTACCTTATGTTGATGGAAAGAAAGGACCTACCACATATTGATCTGCAAGAGTTATGGGTAATACTATCTGCACTGGCACAGTAAAGGAAAGCGTTAACCCTGCTTTCAACCAAAAGTTATCTTTACCGGTGATTCTTCCAACTCTCAATGATAAAATTTTAATAAAAATTTGGATGGATTATTCTCTGACTTCTGTTGATCTTTTAGCCAATCTTCCTGAAGTACCAAGGAAAGATGATATTTTCAATATTTCCATTCTGCAAGGTAACGAAGGATGGGTAACAAGCAAATGGTATAACATGTATGGAACTCATCCCGAAGATAGGGCATACTTCTTTACACCAGCTACTTCATATTATCTTGAGGGAAATTCTTTCCTCGGAAGAGCTCTTATCTCAATGAATATTAATCCTGTTGAGAAGCCACAGTTTGCCAAATCATCTGCAAATCTTCTACGGGAGCCTCAAGCAAAAGACTATGTTCTTTTCTGTGAGCCTTATGAGATAAGCAACATTACTGAAACTCAAGGAAAAGACGTTCGAATAGAAGTAACTTTTGGGCTTGCTAAACAGTTCACCAAGCAGCTTAAGTATAACAGTGGTAGTAAAAACTACAAGTTCAAACTTAAGCATAAAATTAAGCCAATAAAGATATCCTATCCTGAAGACCTCAAACAAGTTCCTGATATAATAGTAACTCTGCAAGCCCAGAAGCTCTTAGGAGGGATCTGGAAGGTCGGATACTTTAGAATAAAGCCTCGAGAGCTACTCGACAATGATTGCCCTCGGTGGTACAAGTTCAAATCTCTCGAGAAGCCCCATTCTTCTCCAGGGAAGCTCCTGTGTAACTTCACACTAGTACACGCGGACAAAGCTAATACTATTAGAAGAGGAAAGAAGAAGAGTGCAGAAGTTCAGTTTAAATTCTACTATAATATCTTCTATTGTCTCGATATCTCTATTGATCAGAAGAATGAGGAAAAGGTTGAGTCCAAGCTTAGACTAGAGATTGGGTCAAACAAGATAAAAAGTACTGATTGGGTGAAGAACCATATTCCTCTATGGAACTGCTCTGATTTTAAAGATCTTACTCTACCAAAGAACCTCAGTTTCGCACCAGATTTATCTATTTATCTCGTGCAAAAAGGATGGTTTGGTGGTGAAAAAGATGTAGGAGAGGTTCATATTCCTCTTTCATCGATAAAAGAAGATTTCTCAGAACCGAAATTCTACCAATTCACTTCCTATGGAGAAATCAAAGGTAAACTCTTGGCTATATTCAACATTGCTGAGAAAGATGCCGAAAATAACGATTCTGACTTGCAGAATAAAGTGGATGCGAATTCTGACTTCTTTACCAACTCAGATATCACCTTCTCTATAATTGGAATAAGAAATCTAGTAAACCTACCAAACGATATAAAGATGGAAGTGAGCCTTCTCTACTTAAAGCCCAACGAAGACACTGGGTACCTAATGGTAGACAAAGCTGTAGAAGAGGAAAAAGAAGAGATCAAAGAAGAAAGTGACCCTGAAGATCATAGTTACCTTAAATCTGAAGAAGAGTCTAACGAGAGCTATTTTGATGATGATGAAGAGCTTGGCTTACAAAATAAGAAAGAACAATTAGAAAGAAAGTCAGTCAATCCTGAACTTCTGGGGCAAGTTGCAAAGAAAAATGCTGGAATGACTAAAAATGAGACACTTGAAGCTGCAGAAGGAATTGAAACTAAGCAAATTGAGGATCCTAAAAAGCGAAATCAGACCTTAGCTCCAATGAAAGATCCTGGCTTAACCCCAAATTTTTGCACAAGAGTAGAATTCAAAAACGTTCCTTTCTGCAAACATCCTTTCTTATGGCCGATAATTGTAATAAAAGTAAGAGATACAGGGTATTTCTCAGGTGCTGAAAACCTTGAACTAATTTTCCCTCTAATAAACTATGTAAATTTTCTGAGTCCGAAGAACAAGAGTTTGAATCTTAATGATCTAAAAATAGCATATAAGCAAAAACTATCAGACTTGGAGACCTCTACTAACAAGACGGAGACTCATGTTTCCAACTCTGATGAAGACACCCTTGAAAATGAAGAATCTGAAGATGAAGACGAAGGTGAAGAAAGTGAAGAAGAGAAAAATTCTGAAAAAGCCAAAGAATCTGGCGAAGAAAATTCTAGTGAAGAAGAGGATAAGAAGGAAACCTCTAAAGAGATGGAAGAACAAGATAGTGCTGAGGAGATCGATGAGGATAAGGTCACGCTTAAAAATCATGAACTCTATAAGCAGTATCATAAACGTATCAAGCAGATTAAAGCACCTCCCCTGAGTGATCGGGCAGCAGATGTTGCATTTTCGAATATGTACGGGGATTTTTATGTTGATGATACCGAAAAGATCACCCTTGACGTATGCAAGAAAGATAAGGAGTTTGAAAATGACCTTAGGGAAAAACAACTGGATATCTTATATAAAAAGAAGGAGGATATCACCACCAAGTTGAGGAAATCTCATATGCCAAAAGAAAAAGAGAAAAACAGAAACCTCCTTATTTTAAATAGAAAGAAAATTGAAGAATTAGAAAATGAAGATATGGATGAAGACAAGTTCTGGAATTACATGAACTCGAATGATAATGAGTTCAATTACGGCAGAGATGTCCTCACAGATAGGCTTTTTGAGCAAATGATAGCACTTCCTTACTTTAAGTTTGAACTTAAAACTATGCCTGAAATGACCTTTAGTGAGCTCGATAGACTGGATCTCAGAGAAACCTCATATGATGGAAATCAAAAGAGATTCTTGAAAGCGTTTATTACTGTAACAGCAACAGAAGAGTCAATTAGATCAAAAGAGTTAGAGGGAACTACTAAGCATAATGAGCTTGAAATTTTTGAAAACAGTAACCTCAAAAAGCTCTCAACTGATGGAGATGATGACTATTTCACCCAAAAGATTGAGAGTATCTCAAGTAGGTTCCCATTCGATCTTGCTGATGAGGAATTTATGAAAATTGTGAGAGAAGAAAGTCATTTTATCTGTAGAGTTTATGTTCTCAGATGTCAAAACCTCGCAGGAACTACTTCAAATGCGAACATAAAAGATCGTCTTGCTGGATACTCAGCTAATTGTACAGCAGATCCTTACCTAGTCATCAAAATTGGAGATGGAAAATCAGCTGGAAGAGGAAATGTAAAGATGATTAATGAAAAAGATAATGCACAAGAGAACACATTGAATCCTGAATTTTACCAGGTTTATGAATTCGACATTTCCTTACCCAAAGATTGGACTCTAACCGTTGAAGTATTAGACAAAAACAACGTTGTCACTGAGAGCATACTTGGATCTACTCTTATAGGCAAAACAGTCATTGACCTAGAAGATAGATACTACGGTGACCCACATCTCACGATTAGAAAATAAACTGGAGACATACAGAAGAATGTACCAGCGAGAATTAGCTCTCCTGGATAGAGGAAGGAAGACCAAAGAGCAAGAAGAAAGAAAATTAGAACTAAAATCATTACAAAAGGATATAGCTGCTATATACAACGAGCTTGATAAGGAAGAATCTCCAAGAATTCCTGTAGAATTTAGGGAGCTGATGCATCCTAAAAAGAAACAATCTCAAGGAATTATTGAGATGTTTACTGAGATCTTCCCTGCTAAAGACTCAAAGCTACACAAGCTTGTCAAGATCAAGCCTCCTTCAAAAGAAGAGTTTGAACTGAGGCTGATTATTTGGGGAACCAGAGAAATCAAATTAGTTAATGGAGAGAGTGTCGATATCTTTGTAAGAGTCATATTTGATCCACATGGTTGGTCTAAAGAGACCATTGAAAGGACCACAGACACCCATTACAACAGTAAAGATGGAAGAGGTGAGTTCAACTGGAGGATGAAATTTCCGATTGAACTCCCTTGTGAATTCCCAAGGCTTAAAATTCAAGTCTATGGATTTGGTGTCATCACCAACGAGATTATAGGAGAAAATACTATTAATATTCAAAAAGCATTACAGAACCTTGTCAAAGAGGGTTCAATAGAGATTCCTAATACCTGGATCAACCTCCAAAATCCAGAAGATGAGCATGAAGATGTAGGAAGTCTCAAATTCTCAATGACTATTGTATCAAAAATGATGGCAGAAGGAAACCCAGTCGGAGAAGCATGGGATGAGCCAAACGAAAACCCAAGATTGATCCCACCAACAGCTGGAAGAGGATTTGGAGACAAATTTGCATCCCTTGCTTTCGACATTGGAAAATGGAAATGGCCGGCATGGCTTATGTTCAGAAATTTCGCAATTTTTGGAGTAATCCTCAGTGGGTTAGGACTTGTTGGAGCAATGGTTGCTATGAGAATGGCTTAATTCAATTGATCAAATCTATCTCGGGGTTTTGGGGTTTTGGGGTTTTGGGGTTTTGGGG